ATCTGGAAACAAACTCTATTATTCTGGGAAGTGGCAAATAAAGTTATAGTTAGTTTTCTTCAGCAGTACCAACTAGTTGATGAGAGGAAGATTTTTCTTTATAGCCATTTACCAGTTAATAAATGAAGAAGGAATAAAATACTACCATTTTCAAGCCTTTTTAAAAATAATGAAAATAGGCACAGATAAACTTTTTTTGCTAACACCACGCAAAAGATTTTTATCACTCCCTATGGAAATGTACAACAGCATTACTGAAGGAGTTTCACCAAAAAAAGCCAAATCTTATTTGAATTAAGTCTTCAAATTGATAGGAAATATGAAGGACAGAGATACATGATAAATGACAACACAGGGATGTGATAAACAAAATCCAGACTGGGAAACTTTACAGAATACTCAACTTTGTTTCTTGAAAACAAACAAAATTATAAGGATAAAAGACTTTGTGGGACCTATAAAGTCCTAAAAAAAAGTACTAGCCAATTACAGTGTATGAACTTAATTTGTTTCCTAATTCAAATATACAAAGTGATTAAAAAAGTTTAAAGACAGGGTCATCATGATATTGACCCTGAGACTTAAAGTAATTAAAAAGAGAATGAAATATGTAGATTTCATTGAAATTCTCATTTGATTAAATATTTTTAAGAAACACATCTGAGACAATTGGGAACATTACTGAGTGGGTATTTTATAATATTATGGAATTACTGTTCATTTTATTAGGCATTATAACAGTATGAGCATCATGAAAAAAAAAAGTTTCTGTTGGGGGAGGTCATCAAGAAGACATGACCACCAGTTTGACCCATGAGCTGGACCCCGGTAGTTGGAGGGTTCTCACCCCCTCCTCTGTCCTTTCACTATGCATTCCACTTGCCTTCTGCACTCCCAGAAGCTGCTCCAAGGATACAGCCTTGAGACAGTAATGGCGTGATGAGACTATTTGGACTGTGTATGTGATGAACCCAGGTAAGGCCTCTATGTAAACTTTTAAGGCTCTGGCAGGCAGGTACAGAGATCTATTCATCTTTCAGCCACTCAAAACAAGGCTCATAAGTTATTTCCCTTGCTTGTTAAACCTGTCACCTACCAATCTGGAGTGGTCTGCCTCTTTCTTTGGCCTCCCCTTGCCCTCTGTGCACAGGGCCAGTGTGTGAACCAAGAGTACCTAGCCCAGAAATAGAACCAAGCAGATACAGTCAACTAATATTTGACAAGGGAGCCAAGAATACTCAATGGAGAAAAGACAGTCTCTTCAATATATGGTGCTGGGAAAATTGGATATTCACATGTTAAGAAATGAAACTAGATCTCTATCTTATACTACTCAGAAAAATTAACTCAAAATGGATTAAAGACTTAAATATAAGACCTGAAACCATGCAACTCCTAGAAGAAAACATAGGAAAAAAAGCTCCTTGACATGAGTCTTGGTAATAAATTTTTGGATATGATACCTTAAGCACAAACAACAAAAATCAAAAATAAACAAGTGAGACTATGTCAAACTAAAAAGCTTCCACACAGCAAAAGAAACAATCAACAAACCAGTGGAATGGGGAAAAAATATTTGCAAATCAATATCTGATAAGGATTAATATCCAAAACATGTAAAGAATTCATACAGCTCAATAGCAAAAAAAAACAAAACAAAACAGTAATCCAATTATAAAATGGACAAAGGATTTGAATAGGTATTACTCTAAAAAAGATATACAGAAAACCAACAGGTTCATGAAAACGTGCTCAACATCATTAATTGTTAGTGAAATGGAAATCAAAACCAGGATGAGATATTACCTCATGCCTGTGGGAATGGCTATCAACAAAAACACAAGAGACAACAAGTGCTGGCGAGGATGTGGAGAAAATGGAAGCCTTGTGTGCTGTTGGTGGGATTGAAAAATGGTACAGCCACCATGGAAAACACTATGAAAGACTGTCAAAAAATTAAAAATAGAATTTCCATATGATCTAGCAATGCCACTTCTGGGAATATATCCAAAGGAAATGATAATACTAACTTGAAAAGCTATCTGCACCTCCATGTTCCTAGCTGCATTATTTACAATAGCCAAGACATGGGAACAATGCAAGTGTCCATAAATGAATGAATGGATAAAGAAGTTGTGGTATATATATATATATAATGGAATATTATTCAGCCATAATAAAATGAGGGAATCCTGCCATTTTCAACAACATGGATGGAACTTGAGGACATTCTGCTAAGTGAAATAAGTCAAACAGAGAAAGACAAATATTGTATAATCTCGCTTATGTGTGAAATTAAAAAAAAAATAAAAACTTATAGAAAAAGGAATCAGATTTGTGGTTACCAGAGTTAGGGGAGGGAGTTAGGGGAAATGTGGTCAAAAGGTACAAACTTCCAGTTATAAGATAAATTAGCGCTAGGGATGTAATGTACAACATGATGATATGATGATAGTTCACACTGCTTTATGATATACATAAAAGTTGTTAAGAGAGTAAATCCTAGGCGTTCTCATCACAAGGAAAAATTTTTCTGTTTTTTTGCTCTATTTTATTGTATCTATATGAGATAATGGATGCTAAAAATAGAGTATCCATTTATCATAAATGAGTACTGAAGTATTTGCGTGAAATGGAAAGATATCCACTATTTAATTTACCATAATTCACCCCCGATTAAAAAAACAGAAAAAGTAACAAAGGAAGGGAAAATAATAAAGAAGAAGACTATATCGTAGAGCACATAAATAAAACAAGACGGACAAAATAACTGCTTTTGAAGCTGAGTGGTTAGTGCATGGGGATTTTTTTGTTGTTACACTGTTCTTTTTACCTTATATTTGAAATTACCCATGATAAAAAGTAAAAATCAATCAACCAAACAAGAAACAAAAAAATTATGTAGCGTCAGCATCAGAAATAATGATTTAATTGCTTTGAAATAGAACCCCAATATCATTTTTTTAAAATACTTAATTAGGGCTGCTAATCTGTATCCAAGGTTAAGAATGACTACTTTAGGTCTTATGGCAAAGGGGATGTTTTGAGAAGGAAAAGGCATTTCATGAAATAAGATAAATACAAGTAAGTCTCCGTTATATTTCTCCTTTTCTGTTAAACGTTTTATTTTGAAATAACTTTCGATTCACATGCAGTTGTAAGGTAGTATGGTGAGTTCCCAAGTAACCTTTACTTGGTTTCCCCCCATGGTAATATACTGCAAAACTATATAGTTGTTCCTCTGTATCTGCAGGTTGCTCACCTGCGGATTTCGCCAACTGTGAATGGTGTACTATATTTACAATTTATCGTTGGTTGATCCACTAATGTGGAACCTTTGGATATGGAGGGCTGAATAAGGAACTTAAGCATTCGCAGATTTTGATATCTGGGGCGATCCTGGAGCCAACCCATCCTCCCTCTTCCCTCCCCAGATACTGAGGGACAACTGTAGTATAATATCACAAGCAGGATATTAATATTGATACAGACAACATACAGAAATTGTCCACCACCCAAGGGTCCCTCATGTTGTTCTTATTTAGCCAACTGTTCACGCTCTTCCTTAACCCCTGGCAACCACTAATCTGTTCTCCATTCCTATAATGTTGTCATCTCAAGAATGTTATATAAATAAAATAATACGGTATGGAAGCTTTTGGGGTTGACATTTTTCAGTTAGCATGATTCTCTGGACATGCATCCAGGTCACTGCATGTACGTTAAAATTGTTTTTCTCCTGTAGATAAGGTGTCATTTCTCTTTTTTGCACTCAAGATTTTCTCTGTCTTTAGTTTTCATTAGCTTGACTATGATGTGTCTTGACATAGATTTCTCTAGGTTTATCCTGTATGGGATATGCACAAGTCCTTGAATATGTAGGGCTATATGTTTTACCAAATTGAGAAAGCTTTTAGCCATTATGCCTTTGAGTATTTTTTCAGCCCTATCCTCTCTTCTCTTGGGATTCCAATGACATGAATGATCGATTTTTTTGTTATATTTCTACAGGTCCTTGAGGCTCTGTTTATACTTATACACACACACACACACACACACACACACAAAACAAAAAACACCAAGAAAATACAGTTTACTTTTCAAAAAGTCATACAAAATTTAAAGATGGGAATAAAAAAGAAATATAAAGCGAATTGCAAAGGTAAGGTCAATCATATCAGTTAATATGAGGAAGTTTCCCTATTTCAAAATTAAAGCAGTATTTATTTAATTTGATATCTGAGAGTGTATTGCTTTTAAAAATAAACTTTTGTTAAAGCATAATTTCAAAAAAATTAAAATCATTGCACTCACCCAGATATAAAATGTACATGTCTTAAAATTTTTATTTAACTCATTATTATTGATCAGTAAGATGTTAGAACCAGATCAAAGGAGAATCTGAAAAACAGACATATTTATAGATCGGGAATATTTCAATACACTTTAAAATTTTTAAAAAATACAGCTTCTTCCACAGTGGGTGAGGGAAGTCAGCTGAACTCCTCACTGATAGAACTTATTTGCATGTTTAGAGACAATAATTATACTGCAATGCTATCAGTTATTTACAATTTACAGAGTTCTAAAATATCTCAAAGGCAACAAAAGAGCGAGGTCCCCATCGGATCAGAATTGATAACCCCTGGGGGTGTATGCTCTGAAAAATGCATAGTTTTCCCCAGAAGTTCATTTTTTTCCTACACTGCTGAGAAACTCATGAAAAAATAATAAAAGTAATATTTATTTAACATTACTTTGTGCAACAACTCGAAGTGATTCTTATATGTTTGCTGCTCAATCCTCACATTAACCCTTTTTGGGAGGCTAATATTATTTTAGCATATTTTCTAAGCATGCTGAATCTAATATATAAAAAGAGAAAGTTCATTGTAAGAAATGCTGGACTAGAGATTTACAGTGAGATGTGATGAGATAAAAATTTTTGGAGTAAATTAGTTTTTGGTGATTCCTTTATTTTGGAAGCTTTGCTTAGAACATCTTTCTCTGGTTTAACTTTCTAGCTTGTTTCGATGACTGGTCCAGTCCACAGACATAGTCAAGTCTCCCACTGGAAATCATGTTTCTGAGGTTTGTTACTCTATATTCAGATGTCAAACTTTCTCATCTTCCATTATGCACTTGATATAGTAGGAAGAGCACTGAGGCAGAGAGCTGAGAGCTGCTAAAAACACTGTCCTCTATTTTCATAACCACACACACATTTTTGATGGTTGTTATTCTTTCTCCCCATTTTCATAAAGTCCCTTTTGTCAAATACAATCAAGAGTGATTAAACTCATCTTGCTCTGTGACAGTTCTTAAATTTCTTTTATCCTGTTAGGTTAAAAATACTTTGCCTTTAACAATGATAACCTTTCCCTGAATCCTGTGCCCGCAGTAAACAGTGATGGTTAGTCCCACCAACTTTTGTTTTGTGAAATCTCTCATTCTTTTCTCTTCCAGGAAGTGGCTTAGCGAAAGAATCATCTTTCCCTATACGACTTAGATGAAACTCACAGATGACCCCTTTGTTTACCTATGATAAGGTGAGACACAGACCTTCCACATTTTCATTTTTGGTCTCATAAATGATTAGCTTAACTCTTTGTCCTCCCTTGCTGAAACTAGCTAGACACTGTGTGACTGAATATCTGAAACAGACAATGGTCAGACTACATATAAAATAGATCTCTGACCAGCACTCTGCATCAATGAGCCCAGGAAGCCAACTTACTATCTATGAATCAGATTGGTGGAAAGTCAGACTGTCTCTAACAATCAGTCAAGGAAGCCAAACAATAACCCCTATAACAATCAGTCACACATAGCCAGAACTTGGTTAATAAATGACACTTTCCCTAAATGTTGCTCCACTTTCATTGTAGGACTGACCAGAGAAAGCCAAATATGCAGCCTTAATGAGTCACATAGGATGCCCCACTTCTAGTTATCTTGCCTACAGCATTCCCATGCCAATAGCCTCTGATCAGGACATACGTCAAGCCTTCCCTTTCTTCCATGGTAAAGCTTTACCATTACCCTATCGACCTTTGAGTCACTGCCAAATGCAAGTGATAGTGGCTAACTGACTTGCAATGCAAGCTGTGAATAAATAACCTTTACTTTTTCTTATTTGGGTGGTCTTTGTCAATTTCCTTAACATAGAGATAAACATTTCCTGACTGACTCTGATTCCCCATTTAAAAAAACAATCTTAATTGTAAAATCACTCCACCTATAACTTGCTACTGGTTCCTATAAGACTCTAAAGCAAAACCACCACACTGATACACTCTGATCTTCTAGGCATCCAAGCATCTGGGGTGCTCTCCCTAATGCAATAGCCTGAATAAAATCATTTTCCACTTTGTCATGAATGGTATAGTCTTCTTACATCCTAAATATGTATTTGCTTAATGAATTTGAAAAGATGTCTCTCAAACAAATTCTTGCCAACTCCATGTAAATGTGTAAATGTGCAAAGAAGGAGACGAAAGAATAAAAGAAGGGCAAGTAAGTAGGTTGGAGAAACGAAGTGGGAAGGGAGGGAAGAAATTCTAAGAAAATGGCAGAGAAATGATTATTCTTTAAAACAAGGAGTTCCTGTGTCTAAACCAAAGAGAAAAGAATATTGAATTTGTAACTACCAATGATATACTCTGTGGGGATTCTGTCTTGCTCCAAGTATTATTTTTTCTATCATTTAAAGAACATATGGGCAACAGCTTCTGCTTTCATTTTATCTTTGTGGCACAAATTAAAGTTGAACATCTCCTTCAAGAAAATATAAATCCAGGCTAAGGAAAGAATTCAGAATAGGATGGTAGTTAATTTTCTGCTCTTTGTACCTTTGCGTTACTCATTCCCCAAGTGGGAAGGAGAAAACTAAGACCGTCATTGTCCACATTTGCTACTGATACATTCAATTTACCCAAGAAAACTGTTTTTTTGTTGTTTTATTTTAGCAACCAGTATGTGTCAGGCGCTGTGCTTGGAACTAGAAATTCAAAGATGAAAACTACTTAGTTATTTCTGCTCCTGAGGAGCTCATACTTCAATTCTGGAGTCAGATTTGGAAAAAAATAAGTAGAAATTCAGTGCACATTTCATCATTTCTCATTTTACAGTATTTTAAATATTTTCATGTTAATTTCATTTTGCTATTGAAAATCCTTATTTTTATCGTTTCTATAGAGTTAAAATTAGCATGTGTCTCTACACATAGAACCACTGCATTCACGTCAAGAGGATCACCAAAAGAAAAACATTTTAGACTAAGGAGAAAATTCGCTCTTTACACAGTTGAATGAATATAGTTCAACAATTTATAAATTCATAATGTGTAACACTCAGACGTACTATTGTCTTTTCAAAACTGTTAACTTTCTTTGAACAATAATGCTGGTACGTAATCCTCATCTACATTGACATCTCCCAAGTTTGAATCACTAACCTCCCTGCTAATAGACTTGACCTTCAGAGATTTGTTCAGTTTGGGTTTGATGAACCCACTATAAAGAAAAGATGCTGCTCCTTTTTGTCTGCGAGTTCATATTAAAATTTCAACTGCATTTCATTCAAGACTATAATGTCACCAATACTTGCTTCTTTCACTGCTGAATGATTTTAATCAGCTGATAACTGAAACTCTGTTACTTGCTCTTGAATGATTCATTTCTTAAGCAAGAATGCATCGTTTTTGGCAAGTTTTATAAAGGAATAACGTGTACTAGTTATCAATAACAATGAAATTCTTAAGTAGTATGCTTGATAAATAGAGACTTGATTATGAGAAATGTAATCTCCTAATTTTTGACAGCCTACTGAGAAAATGATTATCAGATGTGGTGAAAATCTCTAACAAGCACTCACTCAGAGCAATGAAAATCTATACTCCAGCCGTGACTATGTTCCATTTACCATTTTCATCCCCTTCCTCCCCTCTCTTTCCCTTAATCAAGAGGAGAAACACTTTTAAAAGCCATCCACAATCTGTGTGAAACTTTCCAAGGGAAGTTTATTGAATTGTTTTCTCTTCTACTCCCAGTTGTGGTCACATCATAATGACATTCCTTATCCTTCTTGATCTCTTGGTTTATGCTTCTCTAACCCTCTGGTGGGAAAAAAAAGAAAAAAGAACAACTTTCAATCTGGATCCATAGATAATTGACAAATGGCAAAAAGGAGACTCAATTAGCTCAGATTATTAACAGAGACATGCTACATCTGGTCATGGCTGAGTCTGTTTGTCCAGAAACGTCTATCAAGGAAATGATTAAAATCAAGACCTGGCAGATGTGCACCTGTCCACATATGATCCTGTTTCTCTAATGTATGAAAATGCACTTAGTTTCATTGGAGAAGTTTTTCCCCTTAATTATGTGACTTAAAATCAAGATTTGTGAAAATGGAAAATAACCTGGAAAAAGACATCTGTACATGTTTATTTAAGTTTTCCCTCTTGAATCTTGCCTCTGCTGTGCTAGAATGATGTTGAATGAGAAACAATCTGTATTCTTGCCTTTTGCTCATAGCCCTGAAGGAAAACCTGCTGGGATGGGCTGCAGATGGCTGCCTTGCAAGAGAAGAATGTGCCTGCTCTTGGCTGTCTGCTCTGTATGCATGATCAAGTCCCAGTCAATGCTTCATGTGCCTCATTAACTGTGGGACAGGAAGAAATATGATGCTCCCAAAATACATGCCCTTTTCTCCAGCTAAGGCCAATATTATGAAAAGGAAACACTTAAAAATCAGAAGTACTGTTAGCAAAAACGTTTTACTACCAAACTCAGTCTCCCTTTATTGACTGAACAGTGAATAGCTGACAAACTGTTATTAAAGAGGCACTTTCACTCATAACTGACTTGTTTATTTCAAAGTGGATAATACTGAAAGGAAGAATACACTGTAATTTCTTAGGACCCTGAGCATGAAGTGCACAAAGTACTTAGACTGCATGATGTAAAGTCAGAAAGAACAATTTTGAGGGAACCAGAAAGCTAAGTTATCTTAAAACCTCTATATGCCCATGGCAATTGTGCATTAGAATGTTTACTAAGGAGCATTTTGCTACGCTAAGAGGTCTAAAACAATTTTAAATTTGCTTAGGGTTTCTGAATGTAATTAAAACATTTTAAAATTATTTAAATGAAGATAATTAACATTTATTTAACTTTACTATAACTGGGTGCTTTAAATTTATATATAATTTTATATTTCCAATACTCTTGCAAAGTAATTACCTCATTTTATAGGCAAAGCTAAAACATGTTAAGTCCTTACTCAAGAGCCCTTGAAAAAAGTTAGAGTTGGGTAAACCAAGGCTTTCTCCTTCAGGTAGACGAAAATCTGGAATCTTCTCTGTTGCATCACTGGCTCACTGAGGACGGAGACGAAAGCAAGCTAGAGAAAAGTTTGGCACAGATGATTCCTAATCAATGCACTCTTCCACTTCATAGTAAAGTTTAATTAGACTAGTTAGAATAACCATTTTGTTCAAGTAGTAGGCAAAGAGCAGAGACAAATAGTGATTCTTTGCATTAGAGATTAAAAGCTTTGTTGTTCAATGAAGTAATGTTCATGCTTTTTGTTTTTATTGATTATAATAATCTATTATTATTAATGTAGATTAATAATCTATTATTAATAGATTTGCATTATTAATCAAAATAACGTAACGATTAAAATACAAAATAGAACAGAAGAGCTAAATGAAATGCAGCCATCTACAGCCCAGCCCCAATTCCCAGAGGCAGCTACTCTTAACTCATCTTTGTGGTTTAGTTCCCTTGATTTAATTAAATAACATGTTTATTAATTTTACCTATTATTTACTACATTAAATAACCTCTATTGGCTTCCTGCTAAAATGCATGCTAATTTATATAACATACAATACCCTAATTCTCTTTACTGCCTCCTCCTAGAATGTTGACAGCTATATTATAACGTAAGCTGCTGCAACGTATTTCTGCAATATCCATTGTTTCATACGATGTTGGTACTTAGAGGAATAAGGTTAGTGTTAATATGGAAATTGTTCATACTTATTTTTTCTCCATAGGAAGGGGGAGGTAGAAAAGCAGGAGGAGAACCATAACAAGAGAAAAAAGCGCTCCAGTCTCCGCTATACCGGCAGGAAGCACTTTCAGCTCCAGTTTTAAGAAAATTAATTTTGAACACCTGGAGGTAGACCGCTCCCATCTTCCTCAAATCCTGGCAGGTTGCTCTTGTTGTGTCCAAAACTCCTCTTCCATCTTCACGTCTCTTCACCATGAACAAGTATTCCCAACGTATTGTTTTTATCCATTTTTAGCATACCCTGAGGAAGCGTCCAGCCTGGGTCATCTCCCAAGGTCTAATTGTTCTTGTCTGTGTTCAGTTTAGAAACTTACATGATTTTGACTTCTCGTTATGCTATTTCTTTCCTTCATACCTTATTCTTAAAGGGTGCAATCTTACAGAACAAATGTTGTTGCTGTTTTTTTTTTTTTTTTTCCAGTACCACATATATTGTGGTAAGGCAGAAAACCCTCCCTGTTTTAGT